TCTATTAAAAAAAACCCGACCATATATTTATTAAGGTGATAAACAATTAAAATTAATTACTAGATTAAATTACATAAAATATTAAAATTATTGTTACTATCGGGTTTGGATTGGGTTAGATTTTTATCGGGTTTGATCGGGTCGAAGATATGAATACAACCCAACCTTATATTACTTAAAAAGATTAAGAATATTTAACATTTGTAACCGATTTATTTGATATTTAAACTTAATAAAATTTTAATTATTAATGTAACATGTACGGTGGATAAGTATAATTTTTAAAATAATTATATATATAAAAAAAGAATAACTCGTACCCATAAATAAAACTAAGGCCCAAAATATTCAAAATGTCAAGAAGGACAAATTATTTTAATTATTAATGTAATGATCGGTTGCTAATTGAGTTTCTTTTTTCTAGCTCGGTAGGTTGTAAGAACCTGGTGGCATTCGAGCTAACAACGTATTGTTCTTTTTTGGTCCGACCTAACCTCGTACCTGTCTTGAAATTATATTGTCGGTTAAATTATAAATTTAGTCCGAATTTTAATCTATCAAGCAAGGCCCAAGTCTTCCAAAAAAAAAAAAACTATTGAAATGCTAATAAAGTACCAAAAATGGAAGATATTAGAATTGGAATGAGGAGAGTGCTTAATATTAGCTCCTTTTCTCCTATGGTGTGGATACTACAAGGTGATGTTCTTGCTCTGATGAGTGGAAGAAGAGGCAGATAGCTGACATATCATCCATTGCGATGCCTCGTCTCTTCCGTTTCCATGCCCGAACAGCACACTCGACCAGACGTTTTGACGATTTCGTTCTATCCGGTGTCGATGATACAATCTCCACTGCTTCTTGGTTGGTGACAACATCCCATACCTAACAAAACGAACATAAAGAAGAGGAAGTTATTTCAATCACACAGTTTTCGACGTTTTCGGGACGTCGTTTTTCGATCGTGCTTCTTACCCCATCAGTTGCCAATATAATGAATTGGTCTCTGCTGGTTATACTTCTATAGGTAACTTCTGGCACAGAAATGAGTCCAAATTCTTTAATACAATAATCACCGAAGGCTCTCGACATCGCCAACCCGGGCGTTTCCTCGTTCGGAAGCCAGACCCTATGAACACCCGGCTCGTCATTTAAACAAAACACCCTCCCATTGCATTGAATTATCCGCTCGGCCTCCTCTAGAGATAGTTAAAGATCAATAAGTAAACAAAGTTCAACTACTTATCCATTTTCGATATAGAGATAGAGAGAAGAGTGAGACTAACGAGGTAGGTTCGGTTTGAAGTCGACGGTGAGCTGATCCGGTACTACACTTCCATCATCAGAAGTAGTACCCAAGACTGCTCGGGAGTCGCCAACATTGGCTAAAACGACTAGCTCGCCCTGGAAATGAACAACTATCTTATTTCCAAAGAAGATCTAAAGCCAAAAGTAAAGAATATAATTGGATTTTAACATTCAATTCAGCCAAGTGAAACATAAACCTTGCACATTTGATTATGATACTCCTCCTATATAAGAACATTTTACCTGTTTAACAATGGACAGTGCAGTTGTTCCACTATAAAACGTATCGATTTTACGGTGCTGCTCGAGTTCGTGATCGATGGCAGCACAAGTTCTTAAATAGGAATGCTTCCATATGTCGAACCGCTGATGCTTCTTTTCTGAATCCAATTCCGGGTCGAGGAAAGCTTGAGCAAGTCCTTGCTGCCAATGGCACAGCAAAGATGGTGGCATTGATTCTCTTACCGCCTTCGCAACAAAATGACCCCACGGTCCGTGCCCATCGAAAACCCCACAAAATATCAAGTCTTCTTGGCATCCAAATTCCTACGCACGCAAAAAAACAACCAGTTTTATATTGCAACAGAGAACGAAGCATAAGCATTCAAGGGTTTGAAAACCTCCCTCTAGCTGACGTGTTTTAAAAACCTTGAGGGAAGCCCGAAAGGGAAAACCAAAAAAGGACAATATCTGCTAGCGGTAGGTTTGGGCTGTTATAAATGGTATCAGAGCCAAACACTGGGCAGTGTGCTAGCGGGGACGCTAGGCCCTCAAATAGGTGGATTGTGAGATCCCACATCGATTAGAGAGGGGGACAAAACATTCTTTATAAAAGTGTGGAACCTCTCCCTAGCAGACGCGTTCTAAAAACTTTAAGGGGAATCCCGAAAGGAAAAGGCCAAAAGGATAATATCTACTGACAGTGGGCTTCAGCTGTTATAAATAGTATCAGATCTAGACACTGGACGGTGTGCCAATGAGGATGCTGGGATCCCAAATGGTTGGATTGCGAGATCCCACGTTCGTTGGAGAGGAGAACGAAGCATTTCTTATAAGAGTGTGGAAACCTCTCCCTAATAGACGCATTTTAAAAACCTTAAGGGGAAGCCCGAAAGGTAAAACCCAAAGAGGACAATATCTGCTAGCAGTGGGTTTAGGCTATTACACCAAAAAAAAAAAAAAAAAAAAAACCCCC